GTCCCTTCTCATTTTATAGATGTGTTCTTAGCTGCCACCCAGAAAAAAGCAGTGCCTTTTCCAGGACCAAGAACCCAGTCTCTGTCTGGCCTCTGCCCAGGAGAGCGAGAAAGCAGGGGGTGTGGTCCTAGAGGCAGACACACCTTTGTTCTCCAAGGGAAGGGGCTGGAGGAGAGAGAGGGAGCTGTTTGTTTATTCAGAAGACGGCTCACCTTGCAAGGTGCATTGTTTTGAAACTCAAGGACCGGATGCCCCTAGCTGAAAGACTTCTCCTGGATGCCACCAGCAGGACAGGTGGCTGCTCTCCTGCTTCCAGGCTGCAACCAGGGTGTGGACAGAGGGTCTGGGCAACTGTGGTCTCCCATGGCAGTTTTTTATGCAGCAATTTAGGCCTGATGACTCTGGGTTCCATAAGATGACCTATCTGGACCCTCTCCTCTCTTTCTCCTTTTTCCACTCTCACCAGAACTGACCCAACTCAGAGGCCAAGATGGGAACTCCCCGCTGGCCTCCCCTTCCCATCATTCAACATTTTTTTGTGTCTCTCTTCCCTTCCCTCTGCAATTCCAGCCAGGTTTAGTCTTTGATCCGGTGGCTCCTGGATTGCCCTTTCCACATCTCTCCTGGCTGGAATTCTTGACCTTCTGAGAGGCTCATGCAAATGCTGCTTCCTTCATGAAGCTTTCCAAGAGCCCTTGTTATGACTGAACTGCTCTGCTGTGTAATGCCACCCCCACCCCCCATTCATGTCTACCTGGAACTTCAGAATCTGACCTTATTTGGAAATTGGAGGTGCCCCCAGCCCTCTCCAGCTCTCTCTGATGTTCTTGGACCACCCCAAAGCCCACCATTCACACCTGTCCCCAACCCACTTAGCCATCTCCCATAGTAAATTCTCCATCCACATAGAACTTGGCCCTTTGTCCCCAAGCCCAGCTGGACCCCAAAACAATCTTTGCTGAAGGTTGGGGGGGTGTCCCAAAGTCCACTCACTGGCCCCAGGTAGACTCAGGTAAGAAGCCATGATTCCAAACTCCCCACCATGTGGGCACACAGAAGACTCAATAAAAGTAGCTCCCGTAATTGGACAGATAATGATGAGTGACAGGGACTACTTCTGGTCACCCTGGTTTGGTCTGATGACTCGACCTAGTGTGATGGACACTGAAGTCTCACAGATCTCCAGGGATCCTGTGTTCAGTGACCCTGACACCAAAGGAAATTCCAAAGATCCAATCTTTGGAGATGTGACTAGTTAAGGATCTGGAGATGCAATCACCTCAAATTCAGTGTGTGCCCTAAATCTAATGACTAGTGTCCTTAAGAGAAAAGGACAGGACAAGGTGGGGGGGGGAGGCAAAGAGAGGGCTATCTGAAGACAGAGGTAGAGATTGGGGTGAGGCTGCCAGATGCCAGAACACCAGGAGCCACCAGGAGCTGGAAGACACAAGGAAGCTTCCTCCTCTTGAGTCTTTGGAAGGAGCTGGCCCTGCCACCACCTTGATTTCAGTCTTCCAGCCTCCAGAGCACTGAGGAGAGACATTTCTATTGTAGTAAGCCACCCAGTTTATCGTAATTTGTTGCAGCAACCACAAGGAAGCTAATAGGCATGTGATTTGTGTAAGCACCTGGCCCTGTCTCTGGACCTTCATTCATCTTTGCTATATTCTCCCATGGGCTTAGAGCTATGCCAACACATAACAGACACTACAGGTGAATTTGCTGGACTAGGTCTCTCAGAGATGCCTGACAAGGAAATGAATGATGGGCCTGGGCCCACCCCAGTGCTAGAGATTAGAAAGGATACGGACTGGCTGGCTGGACGTGATAGGAAACAGGATTCACAAACCTACTCACGGGGCTAGTTCTTGGTTACTTGCTTTAGAAACAGGGTTCTGTACCCATATACTCTAAACTCAGTAATAGCAAGACAGATTGAACTCTGAGCCAGGTCACATCCTACTTCCCTGAAATGGTCCTTGAGGCCTCTTGAGGAGGGAAGAAGGCCCATGTCCGCTGGCCCTGCCTCCCCTGGCCTGCAGTCATGGCTCGGGCTTCTAGTCCAGTCACGTGCCCAATACTGAATCAAAGACTGGAATAGCCACTGCAATGCCAAACAAGCAGTCTGCCTCTCCCAGGCGCTCCTGCCACAACCATGTCAAACTCAAAGGCTTTGCAGACTGAGCTCCCTACCGGTCAAGTTCGTTTCCTGGGGGGTAAGAGGAATGGCCCTGAGCTTTGTGAATGTCTTCATGGGAGGAATTTCAGGAGAGAATGGGAAATTTAAAAAGGAATGTAGTGGGGAAAAACTTAGCAGGAGCCTTGCCCCTGGAGACCTGCCATGACAGAGAGTGTCCCCATTAACCTCAGTACCCTGTGGGTAAGGTGAGGTGTCTCCTGACTAAGAAATTCCAAACTCCTGATCTTTATGTCCCTTTAAGAAAAATCTTTATTCGATCCACCTTTGCAGCCTAAACTCACTGCCACCCACAAACACTGCCAAATCTTACTTAACTCAAGGTCATTACATGAAACAACTGGGTTGTCAACTCCCCCCTTCCGCAAATAAAAACCTATCTCCTAGACATGTCAGCTGTTTGTAGAGAGACTCTGGGGCTCTTTTCTCCCTTCTTTTGGGAATCCTTGTCCCCCACCCCCTGGATCCAATCCCACCAGAACCCAGGTTAGGAAGGCACTCAAAAGCAGTCTCTGCTTCCAGCAAAAGGAGAGAGGAGTCATCTGTGGTTCTACACTGCCGCCTGTCACTGCAGGCTGGAGGTGCCCCCAGCCCTCTCCAGTTCTCTCTGATGCTCCTAGGCCACCACTAAGGCCACCATTCACGCCTGTCCCCAACCCACTTAGCCATCTCCCATAAATTCTCCAACCAAATAGCACTTGGCCCTTTGTCCCAAGCCCAACCAGGCCCCAAAACACTCTTTGCTGAAGGTTGGGGGGGAGGGTATCCCAAAGTCCACTCACTGGCCCCAGGTAGACTCAGGTAAGAAGCCATGATTCCAAATTCCCCACCGTGTCAGCACGCAGAAGTCTCAATAAAAGTAGCTCCCGTAATTGGACAGATAATGATGAGTGACAGGGAGTACTTCTGGTCATCCTGGTTTGGTCTGATGACTCGACCTAGCATGATTGGCCCTGAAGTCTCACAGATCCCCAGGGATCCTGTTTTCAGTGACCCTGACAGCCATTGAAGACATTTCTAATTGGCAGTGGGGTTATCCCCTGGAAGAGGATGTCCACTGCAACTTAGGTGGGGCTGTGATTCCCAGTGCATGAACTTGAAGGTTCCACTCGGCCACTATCAGACTCCCCCCCCCCCCATGCCATGTACTTCTTCCCATTTAGGGTTGTTTATAGTCAGTCAAGTTTTTCCAGATTGACTAAGAGTTCCTCATCTGCCTACTGCTGTCAGCTACAGGAACAGTGCAAGAGACCCAGGACCTGGGCCAGCTGGAAGACACAGAAGAAAGTCTCCGTGGGATGCAGACGGCCAAGGAATAACAATTACACACAATTGTCCCAAACCCACATTCTCTCCCCAACGACACCCACATCTGCCCTCCCGATGCCCCTCTGCAAAGGGCGTTGGGAGCAATCACCTCCAGAAAATGAAACTGCTGAGAAGGAGTTCTTAGTTCCCCTTCTTCAGTGTGTCCAAGGGTTAAAAACACTTCCGAACGCCCCTTCCACTGCAAGGTCAAGCAGCTGTCCAAACCACCCAAGGAGAAGAGGGAGTCCTGGACAGCTGGACCCCCACCAGTTTGGCCACAACAGCCTCCTGCCAGTCCGGCTAGGGAAGAGTTAATCGGATCAGCTTTGGCTGATAGTTCAGGCTCCAAAGTTCAGTCCCCGTCAGAGCCACCCCTGAGGAATTGTAAATCTCAGGGCAGTATTTAACAAAACAAAAGCAACCTGGAATTACATGCAGGTTTGGTTTTCTACAGTACATATTTACTTAATCCCCAAGGTATGTGGCTCCATGTCAGATCAGCTGGCTTTGCGGGCCCTTTCACCCCCCTGGTTCACAACAGTTTAAGTTTCAAACTAATTCCCTATTTTCCCTCTTCCTTTTCACTGGGCTGACTGGAGACAGCCCCGGCCTGCCTCCCTCTCTCCCTGGGCTCTGGTCACTGGGTGAGTCAGCCTGGCCTGAGTTGGGAGTTGGGTGACAGCCGGCTCACCACCCGCCCCCCGCCCCCCCCAGCGCTAGGTCTCAGAAATCTGGAGCAAGGGGTGCTGGGACCACCGAAAAGTTGAGGCTGGGAGGACCCTGCCACGGCACCACCTCCCAACTTAAAGGGGAGGAATCCCCTCCAGGGCTGTATGGGGGGAGGAGACAGGGTTGAAGGTGAGAACAAGGGCTCTTTATCTGTTGCTGGTTATCCCGTCCTCCCCTTTACTGATTTCCAAACACCTGGGCCTCCTAGTGCCTGTCCGGTTAGGCTATCCATCCGAGACTGCTCCCCTCCCTCTGCAAACCCAAACTGAGTACCCCCTCTCGACGTGTGTTCAGAGCCGCAGCCGCCCAGGTTGGGGCTGGGAAGCGGGTTGCCAAGGAAAACACGAAGCGCCAGCTAGCAGGCGGCTCCCAGCCCTAGCAAGGAGCGCGCACACCCTGCCCTCCAGGGTGGCGGCAAAAAGGGGAAGGCGACGGCGGGGCGGGAGATGAGGGGGGAACAACACCGTCCTTTGGGTGGTAGGAATGTGGGAAATGGGTGAGCCTCCTAAGTTTCGGGGTGGGGGCAGACAGCCCGCCAGCCACCTATCCCCAAAGGAGCGGATCAGCTCTAGACCTGCCAAAGGGGACAGTCGGGTGCCCGGGAAATTTACAAGGTGAAACCAACTAGCTCAGCACTCCCGGGTGGCGCAGGGAAGCCGGGCAACTGGCGACTTTCGGCTCCCGGGCGCGCGATCCTGCAGCGGCAGCAGGTGGGCGCACCCCCGCCCCCGTGGCCCCCTCTCCGGGAGTCGCGGTGCCCGGGTACCTTTCTGGCGCCGCGCTCTGCGAACTCGCGAGCGAGCTGACGGCCGATTCCTCTCCCGCCGCCAGTGATGAGGACGTTCTCCCGCGACAGGTCCCGCAGCTTGGCGGGCAGCACCAGTCCGACGGCTGCTTTCGCCACCAGATAGATCATCTGCAGAGGGAACACCACCAAGGCGCCCAGCCATTTCCACACCATCCTCCGGGCCGCGGAGCCGGGCAGGGGGCGGAAAACTCCCCAGACCGAACAAAACAGGAATTAAAAAAGAAAACACCCCAAACAATAATAAATAAACCGAATAAGAAGGAGGAGAGAGGCGTCCCACCTGGCCACTCTTGAAATCACCTCTTCCCAAATGCAAAGCACAGGGTGAGAGAAAAAAAAAAAAAAAATCAATCCTCCCCGGGAGGAGAAAAGCGTCTCAGAAGGTTGGGACGGTACGGGAGGTGGAGGCGAAGCCGGAGGTGGAAAGTTCTAACAAGAAGTTTCTTGCCCCAGCAGCCGTTTCGGCTGGGGAATTCTCAGGTGATGTTTACAGACTGACAGAGGAGTTTAGGCAGGGGAAGAAAAAAAAAGGCACCAACCGCACGCGCGCACCCTGCTACAGTCCCGCGGTTTCAAAGTGCAAGATTAAAAAAAAAAAAAAAAGCTGTTTCCAAATTGTAGCGCGCCCCCACCCCTTCTCCAGGAGAAAAAAAAAAGTGGGGGGAGTGCTTGGAGCTCCCAATTTCAGCCCGCGAAAGTCTCCCGACTCATTGCTATTCTTGGGCTCAGGAAATTGCTTAAACGCGATCTGATTGCCAGCAACGTGCAGCAGAAGTGGGGGGTCCGGGTGTCAGTTTCTTTACGTGCAGGGCTCGCCCTCGCGCGCGCTCGTTCTCCCCGGCTCCCTCCCTCCCTCTCTCTCCCAGCACACGCTGGGAGTTGCCTCTCGATCCGGCTCCCTCTCTCTCCCTTTTTCGCATTTATTGCCTTCTTTTTGTCCTTTCCAACTTCGAGAGGGCCTGGGTGCGGAGCGCGCGTGGATCGGACGCCCCGGTCTGCGCGGCCTTATTCATTCACTCCCGGGGCAGCCGCGGCGTTGAGCTAGAGGGCGGCCCTTTTTCCCCCATTTTTTTTTAATACCCCATTAAGTCTGATTGACAGTTAAAGTTGTTGGGAGGCTTCACTACGGTTCCTCTGAGTGGCTGCTGCGGCCTCCCCTCCCCCTGCGCCGTCGCGGGGCGCGCGCACAGGCGCGCACACGGGCTCGCTGCGACTTGCGCTCTCCCGGGACTGGCTCCCCTCTCCGCAAGCCTGGACTTGCCGCCGGTGTCCCTGAGGGCTCGCAGCTGTAATTCGAACACGCTGGAACCGACTCCAGCGTGCCGGCTACCTCCCCGAGACCTTTCTCCTTGCCAGGCCGCCCGCGGGCCGGGTGGCCACCCCTGCGTGCCAGGCTGCCCCGAGGGAGCTCGCGCAGGCCTTGACCCAACCAAGTCCCCCAGGGTTTTATTTTGGTCATTTGGTCATCCCTGCATTCAGGTAGGTAGGACCAGGAAGCCACGTCCCACCTTTGCCGGGACGTCTTAAGTCTTCTCTTGGCGTGTGCTAAGTCTGACTCAAATCCCCCACATTGCGGGGGGGAACCGCTGCTGGGGAGCAAGGTTTTGCTTTGAGGGGAGAGGGTGGGCCGGGTAAAGGAACCTCTGCCCCAGGTGCCAATAAAATCCCCATAAGATTAGCTGGGAGCCTATTTATTGCTCATCTGGGCTAGAATTACCTTGACTGACAGCAACTTCCTTAATAACAAAAGCCTGTGAGGAAAACGTCCCATACCTGTACCCTGTGCCACGGAGGCAGCATGCTCTCTCTCTGGGTCTCCCTGACCTGCCCTGGTGGGGCACCCACCTTGTAACTTCCCGCCCTCCGCAGCAGGAATGTCTCCCCTCCTGGAGGGTGGGACCCAGCTATTTAGAGTTGTCTGTTGCAGGAAGTCTGGGAGGTGAGTCACTAAAAAGCAGCCCCAGTTCAAAGTGCTGGTGAGACTTGCCTCTGTCCGCCCCTGAACATCCCCAGGCCGGAGAATGGAGAGGGAGCTGGGAAGCTGCTCTGTAATCTGGGACAGCCTTTTCCAGCAGGCAACTTGTTCAGATGGGGATTCCAGGGCCTCACCCCCAGAAATTCTGATTCAGCAACCCTGGGTGCACTGGGATCAGTATTTCTAATGCTCTGTCTGGGTGAGAAAGTCACTTAGAGCAATGCTAATTTGGTAAGGTGTGACTGGGGATCACCTCTTCACCTGCAAAGACCTTCTCTAGTTCTGGAGCAAAGTTCCCCAGGAGAGGATCTTTCTTCCAGGAAGAAAAAGGCAGGAAAGGGTTGGGAAGAGAAACGACCTTAGACCAGAGCCTGCCTGCTGACATTTCATCCTCTCGCTGACCTTGCAGAGGGGGTATTATATCCCATTTTCCAGGTTACCCAGCCAGGAAGTGCAGGAGGGAGGATTCCAAATCCAGACTTCTTCCCGCCCCACCCCACTCTGGCAAGAGGAGAGGAGGTTTCTGGGCCAAGGACTGAAGACCAGAGACTCCCCAAACCCTCTTCCCACCCACCGGCCACCTAAAATATAGCTGGAGAGCAGACGGTGGCCCAGGGCGATGTGATTCCCAGGGCGGAACTCCCAGGGCGACCCCCCTCTTCCCATCTTTGATGGCTGTGAAGATGGGAAAGAAACCCCAGCCTGGGGACAGGAGGCCCTTCCCACCCAGCAGTGTCTGGTGTTGGTGCCAGGCCTGTGAAGAAAACTGGAAAAGTCTGAGGACAGAGCCACGGTGCAAATGCAGCCTGTGCTCATTTATTTATTATCCTCGGAGCCGCCTAGCGGCCCCGGAGGGACACTGCACCTGCAGACTGCCCGGCCTCCAGCCTCACATGTTCCTGCTTTTCTTCCAGGCCTTTCTCTCCACATAAGGTTCACACCCTGAGTCTAAAAGGGCTTGGAAAGACACCTCCCACTCTTTTATGGCTGGGGAAGCAAAGATATCGTGCAACTCATATACAGAGACTCACATTCGCCAACCAGCTCTCTCACCCTGGTCAGATGCCAGAGCAGTGGGGTGACCACGAGGTCCCACCTCCCACTCTGGTGGGTGTGTGTTTGGGATGTTGGACTGAAGGTGTGTGGGAAGGAGATTGGGAACCCAAACGGACCTCTAGTGCACTTACGTCCAGCCCTTCACATGAGTTCCCATTTCATTGCCCTAATGGCCGAGGAGCTGAGCATCACTGTCTGCTCATTTTATTCAGGAGGACACAGGCCACATGCTCTTCAGTAGGTGAGGGCTGAGGTCAGAGGAAAAAAAAGAACAAGTCAGGCAATCTCCAAAGGGGTTGGCAGAGCGAGAAGCTGGCCTGAGGAGTACTGGGGCCTTTGTCTACCTGGTCCACCTTCAGGATGTGGGTTTCGTGGGCTTGGCATCCTGGAGAGCCATGGGTTTCACCCAGCCAGCATCAACTGTGCAGAGGGAACTGTTCCCTCCTCTTTTGCCCTCCCCCCAGATCCCTGGAAGAAGGGGGTCAGCAGGCACGGTGCCTTGGGCTGGGGGGCACGGGTCAGCAGGCCAGCCCCGAGGGCCCTGTGGCCTGGCTTCAGTGGGAGCATCACGGGACACATCCTCCCTGCCTTCCCTCCCTCCCCCATCCTTCATGCTCTGTTCTTGGTACCCCCTCCTGGAATTTAACTCCAGGGCAAAGTTTGAAATTTCACATGCCAGGCCTGCCCCTGAAAAGGAGAAAGGAGTCTTTATGGGCTTGAGGGAAGAAAGGAACTGCAGCCTGAAGAACTGACATTTGCTGTGGCTCAGATGCCTTCCTGTCCCGAGCATTGGTCTCCTGCTCACAGCGTGGTCCCCACACCATCAAATCAGGGGTAAGATGTGCAAACTCCCAGGCACCACCCAGCTCTCCTGGATGGGACTCTGCACTTTACTGAACGAGATCCCAGGTGCCCCTTTGCTCACTGGGATTAGAGAAGTGAGGTCAGTACTGCAGGCCTGCTCTGGTGGCTGGGTCCAGGACAGCATCTGGGAACCCAGGTGGATGTGGGGAGAACAGTGAGCAGGCCAAGTGGGTGCTCAGGCCAGGGATGGAATGTAGGGATGCTACTAGTTAATGAGGAGTGGACAGTAGCACCTGGAGGCCCTGCTGTCAGGAGCACCAAGCTCAGGGACCTCTCAAGGGCCCCCTTCCCTCCCAAGGAACTACAGTCAGGGTCAAATCGAGCAGGTCAGGGCCCACCGCCTGCTGCCCCCACTCTTCTGGCAGCTCTGGTGCAGCATCTTAATACCAACAACTTGATGTGATCAACATACGCGCACATGCACACACACACACACACACAGACACACGTGAACACACGTACATGGCTTTATTTGACAATCGGCTATTTTGCCCTGAGTAGTACAAGTCAGCAGTGTTGAATCGAGGGGGTTGGGTTTAGAAAACCTCCTGGTCTAGTGGAAAAAAGTGTTTCATGAAGTTTAAGATCAGCTGCCCTGGAGGGTCTTTGTGGAGACAGACTCCTGCTGGGTGGCTTGCCCAGCCAGAGGAAACAGAGGAGAAAACAGATGGGTGGAAAAACCCTTTGCTTGGGCACCAAGGTATCCAGGAGAGCAAGTCTGCGGAGGTTTCAATCCTTCACATGTCAACCCCACCCCCCCATACAGAACATTTGCCAAGAGAGTCACTGTTCTCCTTGGCGAGGCCTGGCCAATAGGACTGGACACATAAAAGCCAGTCCAATGGCCCTTTTCAGTGCGCCCAATGCTCTCTCCCTCCCCCACAGGTGAGTATTTTCCATGGAATGACGTCTCCCAGTCCTCTCCCAGGCACCAGCTTGGGTTTTCTTTTCCATTATTGTTTTGGAATCGCAGGCTGCGGCAGCAGGGAGGTGGGTTCTGTTGGCTCTGTGTGAGCAGATGCTGGACAGGCTGTGTTTATTCTGGCTGCCAGGGTCGGGTGAAAGCGCAGGCCGGAGCCAAGGCTGGGAACGTGGCAGGAACATGGGGTGGAGGGTGCGGAGCAAGGGAACAGGCCCCAGGGTGTAACGTGTCACTCGAGAAAGCTTGGGCCCAGGCCAGAGGGCACCCAGTGGTCCTCACCTGCCTTCTGCCTCTGGGTTGGTGAAATGACTCTACCCTGGTTATAGAGTATTAGCTTGAGCTTGGCGAAGCTGGGTTGGAATCCAGGCTTTGAGGCTTCTTCACTTGGGGGGGTTATTTGCCTCTGAGCCTCAGTTTTCTCATCCCTAACATGGGAATTTTGCTAACACTGAGGTGACTGATATCTCTGAAGGGCCTGGTGCGGGGTCTGGCCGGGAGAAGATGCCCGCTGGGTGTTTGTCTCCTTTCCCCAGCGTCCAGCCCTCAAGGAACGTGCTTTCTGGGATAGGGTTGGGGATCAGGGGAGTCTGGGTGGCAGGGGGCAGAGCTGGAGCCTTAGGAATACCAGATGCTTGTGCTAAACCAGGAGTCAGAAACCTTTTCTCTAAAGGGCTGCGTGGTCTCTGTCGAAACAACTTACCTTTGCTGTTCCAGCCAGGCACCAGCAAACAATACCCTCACAAACGAGCATGGTTGTGTTCCAATAAAATTTTACAGAGACTGATGCTCAGAGTGTATAATGCCATTCTCATTTGGATTGTTTTCCCACCACTTAAAAATGTAAAAACCACTCTTAGATTCGCAGACTCTATAAAAAAAGGCAGCAGCCAGCTTGGGCCAGTGCGCTGGAGTTTGCCCATGTCTCCCCTTCACCACCATCGAGCTAGCAAACAAACTCCCATCTCTCAAGTCCTAAAAGAATCAGGGAGGCGGTCTCGGAAAAGCAGAGTCTGCCTTCCTGTGCTCTTTCTGGAACTACGTTCCCAAAGACTAACCCTAATATCCACTGTGTGGGGGAAAGGGATCACTTAGTGGGTTTCACCAAGAGGTTTAGAAAAAAAGTCCTGCTGGATTTAAGTCGTACCAACCAGCTGACATTTACAGAGGGCTTACCACCTGGTGGGTACTTTCCCTTAAAGGTGATATCTTAGATAAGGACAGAGACACCCCCCCCACCCCACCCCCAGCCTCACTCCGCTCCCACAGTGTTCAATAGCTCAGCCCAGGCCACTGCTTGCAGCCTGGTCTTACTGCCTAT